GTTCGAAACCAGATCAAAGAGAAATCAAGTAACATAGGATTCAGGTTTGGAAACAATCAGGTGACATATAGCCAGAAACAGGTACATATTCCTATTTTCACTGCGACCCAGAAAATATGGATAGTAATTGAAGTTGTCCCTGCCGCCACACCATTTTTGCTGTCCATTCAAGCCATGAAGATGCTAGGAGCACAGATCAATTTGTCCAATAATCACTGCTATTTGACAAGGATTGACCGTCAACTGAACTTACAAGAAAGTAAGAATGGCCTGTACCTCATCAGCATGTCAGAATTGTGCCTGCCTGTCAAGCCTCGTCACCAGCACAGTTTCACAGCCGAAGCCGATCGAGCACCAAGTTTTTTTCCACCGCCAGGCCTGACTCTGCCATCCTGTGTTCACCATGCCAACACAGGGAGAAGCCATGCGCATGATCAAGAGCACGGCAGAGGCCATCATGGAGTCATTCCGCCTGTTGCTGGTGATACTGATGAGCCAGTTGGAGGTGAGAGCACCGGACCAGGAGATTGCAACGGATCATGCCCAGGTGCTGTCGAATCTTCTGAACGAGGTTCAGAGCCAGAAGGGACGCATAGAGCAACTGTCAAAGATGCTGCAGGGCAAAACGTTGTCAGGCTCACCAAGAAAAGTCAAGAGCGCTGGATCAAACAGAAGTTTCGAGATTGGCGACCAGTCGGACGCTTCATGGGATCTGGAGGAACTGGAAATGGGGAGTTTGGGCCCAATGCCCACCACCAACATGAACGTGAACCTGCACCAGTCGACGGTCCACCGCCAGAAGATGCCCAAGCAGTCCACAGTTGTTCAGAGCTCTCCACAAAGAACCACTGCAGCAGCGACAGGGGCGAACGATGTGCCCGAGAGCCAGATAGCCCTCACGGCCCAGGCCTTGGAGTCATGGGGCAACAAAAGAGTCCCGTGGGGCAAGACCCACAATGGGTCCCGCTTCTCAGAAGTGTACGAGCAGCACCCAAACTACGTGGCCTGGATTTCGGCAAGATCCGCAACGGCCAACGTCGCCATGCAGGACTTCATCATGTATGCTCAAGCTCGAGAAGCCCTGGAACATCGAGCACTGAGAGCCAGCGCGTGAATGCAGCACCCAAGGAGCCGGTCTATGATGATCTACTGATTGAAAATGAAGATGAAATGAAGTGGCTCATGAACTGCATTCACCATATGCCAAGACGCACCCGTAGGATAGACCTGCTAGAGGTGTACACCGAACCAAACAGTAAGTTAGTTGATGAAGTCAGGAAACAAGGGGGTCAAGCTGTCAGATTCACAAGGGATGATGGGGATTTATCCACTCATGCCGGGCAAGTAGCTTTGTTGAGAAAGATATTCCTTCTGAATCCCAAGCATATATGGCTCGCTCCAGAGTGCCGTCCGTGGGGTCCATGGAGCAGATTCAATCAAATGCGCGGAATCACAGCCTTCAACCGAGTGCAAGAGGACCGCAGTCAAGCACAAACTCACCTGCGCTTATGTGACCTGATTTTTAAGATTCAGATTTCCAAGGGAGACCACTGTCATGTTGAAAATCCAGGTCCCTCCAGCATTTGGCATCAGAAGGAATTCGAAAGAATATGCCGTTGCACAAAGCCAGCATTTTTCGATCAGTGTGCGTTCCAGCTGAAACATCCGGAGACTGGGGAGCTCATGAAAAAGAACACCCGTGTACAGACCTCTTCCGAAAAAGTTTGGAAAGCACTGGACAGCCGTTTTTGCAATAGGAATCATGAGCATGCCCAGATAGCCGGATCGTGTCATTTCAGGGGTCAGCGCATTCCCCTATCTCAATTTGCCTCGTTTTATCCCACGGCACTTGCCAAGAGCATAGCCAAAGCCGTAATGAGCCCGATGCCAGACCCACTTGATTTGCCGTCTGCCGCATTCGTTCATGATGGGTTTCCAGCAGTTGAAGTTGAGGGACCACCCAAAAAGAAAAGCCGGTTTCAGGTCCCAAGAGGTTTGAAACGCGAACATCAAGAAGAAGAACCACCTAGACTAGAAGATGACACCTGGAATGAAATCATGAACAGCCTGCGCCAGAGCCTGCCCAAGTCAGGCGTGCAACAATGGGATGGCCCGCACCAAGAGCTCATCAAGAAAATCCAAAGCTTGTGTCCCGAGCACCAAATCCAAGGAGTCATGGCATGTAAGGGGAGAGAAAAATTTATGACTCACCCGGATAACTTGTCCCATAGAAGAACCATAGTGACTAGCCGGGGTAAACATGAAGTTCATGACTTAGGTTGGGAAGACCTCCGAGAAATGTCCAAGAACCAGCGCAATCGGAAAGCTTTCCCATCTCATGTCATGGTTTGTGTGTTCGGTCGACCGATCGAAGCTGGAGCCAGTAATTCGGAGCCTGCAAGGTCTGCACTAGAACCTCCCCGAGAAACGGAGGACACAATTGATGTTCCAATGGACCAACAGGATTCCATGGAAAAGCCGTGTGACAACGTAGATGTCCCAGCCAGCACATGGACCTCCGCAGCAGCAACCATCTCCGGACCAAAATTCCTTGCGTTAGAACCGACCAAGCAAAGGGTTATCCAGAAGTTACATAATAACTTAAGCCATCCAACTGCAGAAAGACTGGCCAAGCACTTGGCAGAGCGAGGAGCTTCCACTGAGATGATTGATGCAGCCAAAGAATATCTTTGTGCCTCATGCGCCGAACGCAGACCTCCGTCGCTGAATCCACCAGGTGTCCTGAAAGAAGCACGTGACTTTAACCAGCGAATTTCTTTGGACGGTTTCGAGTGGAAAGGTCAGACTGGTTTTCAAGGGTATGTTATACACATTATCGATGAAGCCACTCAGTTTCACTTAGGACACCGATCATGCCGCGACACTGCAAGCACATGGAAAGTCTTTTCCGAAAGCTGGCAAGCATGGGCCGGAACGCCACAGGAAATCATGATGGACTGTGGAGGAGAATTGGTTTCTGATGAAATGAAAAACCTTTTGCAACAGGAAGGAATCAAGCCAATCTTAACAGCCGGACCATGGCAAAGAGGTAGGGTAGAACGTCATGGGGGGGTCGTCAAAGAAATGCTGTCCCGTATTGACAACAGTAGCCCTATCAAAAATGATCGAGAGTTCGACCAAGCACTGTCCCAAAGCTTCCGAGCCAAGAATGCCATGTCATGTATCAATGGATACAGCCCCGAACAAGCCGTTTTGGGACGCGCCACAAAGTTGCCAGCCTCGATTTTAGGTGACCAAGATGACACAGCCCATCTACAAGCCACTGGCGACAGCCCAGAAGCTGATCGTTTCCGAGCAGCTTTGGAACTCCGAACGTTAGCTAGAAAAGCCTTTGTTGAAAGTGACAATTCCCAAGCCATCAGAAGAGCCCTTCTGAAACAATCTAGAGGAGTTCCAATAGAATGGCAATGTGGCCAGCCATGCATGTTTTGGGATCGTCGCAAGTCACCAAATATGTTGGAGAAAGGTAAATGGTGCGGTCCAGCACAAGTTGTTCTCACAGAATCCAAGACCATTGTTTGGGTGACACACATGAACCGTTTGCTTAGATGTGCACGTGACAACCTCCGACCAGTCAGTTTGAGAGAGCTTCAGCACCATCCGACTTTCAGCCAACAAGTCGAGCTCGCGCGTATCCAACAAATGTCAAGTCAATTGCAGGCACGACTCCATGATCGAAGTGGCATGTTCCAGTTCTCAGACATGGGTGAAGACCCCATTGTAGATCCCGAAGAAATCAGCCGTAGAGAACACACAGCCTTACAACCCGAAGAAGAACCAACCCGAAGAGCTTCCAATATAGAAGTCCCTGAAATGTCATTGGAAACTCCAGTTGAAACACCAATACCCAATGACAATTTTGAAAGCGACCATGCCGGATCTTCATATGAACCTTCACTTGCACCTTCAAACCCAGCGGAAGGGGGAGAAAACATGGGAGAAAACTCACATGTATCATTTGGGGAAGCATCCTCTGTAGGGGAGAGCCAGGGGGAAAATAGTGTAGCTCATCATGTAGCCACTGCTGATAACGTAGTCCACGATGCCTGCATAGTGGAATCTGTTCCTGATGGCCCTGTCTTACAAGGTGACGAAGACACACTTTGGACAGATGCGATTGACCAATCGCTGGACCATTGCAGTTTTGAATTCGAGATGCCCTGGCAGCTGATGGAAAGAGTATCACATCAGCCCAAAACCCACGCCGTGCTTTTGACAACCGCGGCCAAAAAGTCCCGAGCCGAAGTGAGGTATTCCACGCTTAGCTCCGAAGAGAAGCAACTCTTCGATCGAGCTAAGGACAAAGAGCTCCGTTGCTGGCTTGAAACAAGCACCGTGAAAAGGATCCTGAGGAATCGCATTCACCCTGATAGAATCATGACCTCGAGATGGATCCTCACATATAAGCCAGACCCAACTTCACCAAGTGGGCATAAACACAAAGCCCGCCTTGTTGTCAGGGGTTACCAAGATCCGGAAATTGATCAAGTAAACACCGACAGTCCAACACTTGGAAGAGATGCCCGACAACTCCTTTTTCAAACAGTGTGTTCCTCAGGTTGGGATATCCAAAGCTTTGACATCACGACCGCATTCCTCAGGGGAAGAGCTGATGGTAGAGAACTAGCCATGGAACCAGTAAGTGAGTTACGGGACCTCCTGAAAATGGGCAAAGATGAAGTATGTTTGCTGGAAGGAAATGCATACGGAAGGGTTGATGCACCACTACTCTTCTATCGTGAACTTCGCAAGCAGCTGGAAAGTTTAGGCTTTAGTGTTTGAAAAGGCACTGACCAAACTCCACAAAATCTTGCCCTTTGGACAAAGAGAATACCGAAAGTTCAAGTTCACCGGATTGGACATCGAACAATTGCCAGACAACTCCATTCGAATTAGCCAAGGGGAATATATCAATAAGATAGATCCCATAAACATAGCTAAGAATAGGAGAGTCCAAAAGGATGACAACGCCACTGAACAAGAAGTTCAGGACTTGCGTGCCCTGTGCGGCAGCCTCCAGTACGCTGCTGTGCACAGCCGTCCGGATCTGGCAGCAAAGGTGTCGTTTTTACAGAAAAGCATCCCTCAAGCCAAAGTTCAGCATCTTTTAGATGGTAACAAAGTTCTGTTGGAAGCGAAAGAGACGGCACCGACTGCTATCCAGATACGTCCGCTGTCTCTGGAAGATACCACCTTTGCAAGTTTTGGTGACGCCAGTTTTGCATCCGCCTCTCAGCTCCGAGCGCAACAGGGGTTGTTTATAGTTGCATGCAGTAAAGCACTGAGTGAAAACAAAACGTCTGACATCAGTCCTGTTGCATGGAACTCTAAGCAAATTGGCCGGGTAGTCAGGTCAACGCTGAGCGCTGAGGCGTATGCAATGAGTTCATCCCTGGATAAGCTGACATGGATCCGATGTATGTGGGCCTTCATCCACAATCCAAGCTTTAAATGGCAGCACCCAGAAAAGTCTCTACAAGATGAACCAAAGGCACTGTTGATCACTGACTGCAAGTCCCTTTTTGCTATCCAAGTTGGCAACTCCTAACTGCCAAGAATGGAGAACAACTGTGGAAGTCATGCTGATCAAACAACAGTCAGATGGTCATACACAATGCCGATGGATTTCGACAGCCATCATGTTGGCAGACTGCCTTACGAAGCCGATGGATGCCAGCTTTTTACGAACTGTTTTGCATTTGGGTCGTTTTCGTATTTTCGATGAAGATCAGACACTCAAAAACAATACCCATAAGAAGATGGCATCAAGATGGATGACCAAGCAAGATGAAGGCACATCCACAAAAGAAAAGACACCAGTGTGAAAAGCCAATATATGCCTTGGATGTGCCTTGCAGGTGTACCAGCATGGAGACCTCGCTGTTCGACCGGGCCAATGGCTCAAGTTCCGCAAGGTGTGGAAAACAAGCAGCGCGGACGCTGCACAAATCCGAGAAGTGTAACGTTGGACGTTCATCCATAGGCACAGGGTGCCGGCTAAGCCTTTTGGGGTGTGGTTACCCCTTTTGTTGGAAACCCCGAAGGACTAGGGGAAGCTGGGTCCCTACCTTTGTAGACTCCTCCCCGAGCTACACATACATACATATATATATACATACATACATACATACATACATACATAAATATGTACATACATACATACATACATGCATGCATACATACATACATACATACATACATACATACATACCATACATACCATACATACCATACATACCATACATACCATACATACCATACATACCATACATACCATACATACCATACATACCATACATACCATACATACCATACATACCATACATACCATACATACCATACATACCATCCATACCATCCATACCATACATACCATCCATACCATCCATACCATCCATACCATACATACCATCCATACCATCCATACCATCCATACCATCCATACCTACATACCATACCTACCATACCATACCTACCATACCATACCTACCATACCATACCTACCATACCATACCTACCATACCATACCTACCATACCATACCTACCATACCATACCTACCATACCATACCATACATACCATACATACCATACCATACATACCATACCATACATACCATACCATACATACCCCATACATACCCCATACATACCATACCATACATACCATACCATACATACCATCATACCATACATACCATACATACCATATACCATACATACCATACATACCATACATACCATACATACCATACATACCATACATACCATACATACCATACATACCATACATACCATACATACATACATACAATACATACATACAATACATACATACAATACATACATACAATACATACATACAATACATACATACATACATACATACATACATACATTACATACATACATTACATACATACATTACATACATACATTACATACATACATTACATACATACATACATACATATCTATATATATATGTATGGGTAGACATACATGTGTATATATATACATACATGTACATATATATATATACATACATATATGTATATATATGTACATATATATATATGTACATATTTATACATATATATATATATGTACATACATGTATACACATATATACATATGTATTTCCACATATATATATATACATCTATACACAGATATACAAATATACATATATACATATTTACACATATACACATATACACATTTACACATATACACATTTACATATATACATATATACATACATATATACATATACACATATATGCATATATGCATATATGATATATGCATATACATATATTTACATATATACACATTTACACATATAGACCTATATATATAATTGAGCCCGGTCCCCGACCCCCACACCCCCTCCCATCCCCCCCCAATGGTATCCCCCCCCACTCCTAACCCCCCCCCACCCCCCCAAAACCTAGTATTTGCATGTTATTTGCACATATACATACACATATACACATATATACTCCCCTTTCCACCCCTCCAACCTCGCATCTCTACGTTATTTGCAGCACTTGAGAGCCACGACCTCGTCAACGGACCTTGTCTACCTGTATATTTCTATCATAACCTTTTTTTCGAACCGCCTATAGCGTGCCTCGCACATGGTTTACAACATATTTGCTACCTATGGATTACGCAAAGCTTACCTATGCAAACCTAGACATATGTACAGTAGAAAAACAATAAATACATATATATATATGCACATTCTAGATACTACAGATTGATATCTTGATCTTGTATCTATCACATATTTCGTTTACATTGTACATACTGTACACGTATATATATATATGTATATATATGCATATATATATGCATATATATATAGATACATAAACTCTAGATATACAGCGTGTATTGCTGTCGATATTCAATATACCACATATACTATGTAAAATTTATTCAACGAACATATTTACCTATATTGTATATATTACATCTACTGTGGATACAGTACATGTGGCATATACTATCTATATTCTATCAAAAACCACATATACGATGTATATATATATATGTTCAATATATATATATATATATATGTCAAATATATATATATATATATATATTATATATATATATAGATTGCATATATTCTATTTATATCTTACATATTATATATATGTTTATATATATATACACTACACATACACTCTATATTACATATAGTATATCCATTCTAATTATCGATACATATGCATTATATGCACTATAAAGACTACATACACCATGGCTTGGCTGCTGAGAAAACCCCCCCTCCCCTGCCACAGGGGGGGGGGAACCATCTGGCTGGGTGGGGGGGGGGTGTGGGGGTCCCTGCTCTTATATACATATATACACATATACACATATAGACCTCTATATATATACATATATATATATATACATATATACATATATACATATACACATATACATATATATATATATACAGAGAGAGAGAGGGGGAGATTGAATTGTTTATGTTTGCATATATGTGATTGTGACCAGAAAAATGGCAATGTGTGTAGTAAATGTTGGGAAACGTCTTGGGGGAATTAAAGCATCTCCTATTTTGAAACATATCAAATGAAATCCCGACCCAATGCCAAGAAATTTGGATTCTCGATCCCAATGCGAGTCTCCGCTCAAGTAATGTACCCCAATCGGCGTGTGGCCATTGAAGGCCGTTTTGAATGTTGAGCCGGGCTGCTTGTCACTGAGAATTGGCAAGATCCCCATGCTGTTTGCAATCCCTTTTACTGGTTGGTTGAAAGGGATTGCAAATCATATAATGTATCTAGATAGAGACATAGACAGATGGATGTAGAGATGGATGGATGGATCCATCTGATGGATAGATGAACAGGATAAGAAAAGTGAAGATCATGGGAACTAGATTATCTTAGATAGGATAAGATCAGATGCGATAGGATACATAAGATAGATAAGATTGGATTGGATTATACAGATCAAATGGGATTGGACTGGAGTAATTTGAATTACATTTAGGCTTGTGTTTAGATTAAGATTAGACCAAATAGGTCAGGATGGATTGATGTATTGATTCTGGATATAGAAAACGTCCACTACTAATATGATTATGGGTCAGTTCACCCTGGTACCCTGCTGTTCACCCGCACATAGCTAGGACCTAGGATTTAGCTGGATGAATCCCCGCAAATTTATGGAAACTTTATGGCTTTGATCCCATATCAAAGAATCCCCATCTGAGTCCTTCTGCCAATGGGGTACCCAAGAATCCTTCAACAAAATCATCGGTAACTTGATTTGTGGAAATTTCATTGGTATCATCATTTTCCCAATTATTTCCTCAATGATTTTCCCAGCATGTCTCCCAAGTTATGTTCCCAAGAAACAACAAGCACGCCATCAAAAAAAAAACCGCCCAGGCTGGCCTCACGGTTAGCAGCCCACGCCTCAAAGACGGAATCGGTCTCATCATCCTGGACGAACTGCATTTTGAGGGACTTATCTTACTGAATTCCAACATATCCAACATACTTACTGGGAACACAATGGGCACTTGATGTTGGATGATGTTACAATGTTGGATGCTTAAAACCTGAGAATTCCTACGGCGAAAAAGCTGGGGTCCCCGATCAATTTACTGCGTGGCTGCTTTAATTCCACCCCATTGAGCTTGTAGTTCTTCTTACAGCAACCCCCGAAAAGATAGAAAAGTAAATTCTTACCGAAATAGTGACAAATTATTACTCTTTCCTTTTTGGAGGTTACTATGACCGAGAAAAACAATATCATGCACAGGCTTGGTCTCCCCAAATCAATGAGACTTCAAGGGCGGGCAATCCCCGCATGAAAATGTTGGGTTTACCAGCAAGAAATGGCGATTCACCGTTGAAATATTACTTGCAATCATGCAGATTCAGCAAGTTTCATGTCTTCTACTTGGGTCGCTCAGCTGAAGAGTTTGCTGCTAGTCACAGCAAAGAGCTCGTGTGCAGGGTTCGCTATGCTTCTGGCAGCATTGTACTTTGGGCATAGTTGTCTATGAGGTTTACGGTAATTCTTAAACTCCTTGAAAACGGATGGGGGAAAAGGGACTTCTGGTGTAGGTGTGAGTGCTCATTCATATTTCTCTCCACCATGATAATGTCGGACAGTAGAAATGCTGACAAAAAATGGCTACGACTCGATCCGGCCCAAAACTTGGATAGTTTACTAAACATGACTCATCGGTACTGTTTTTTGAGTCATCCCCATCTCTGATCATCTGGGATTTCCCCAAACGCTTCGCCCGCTTTTCTTGGATGCTTTTCCGAGATCGGAGGTGCTGGCGTCTAGGGGCAAATGGCCCCAATTGTCCCTGCGCACCAAATCTAAACTGTGTGCTCACTAGCGGCTGCTCTCAAGTATCAAATAACCCTTTGGAGCCAAAACTCGTTGAAAAGCGAAAATTGCAGTGACTAGCGTTGCGATCCCGCAAGAGAGCCCCACGGCCAGCCAAACATTACAAAGCGATAATATGCCAAACAGTCGTAGGGCACCAACTGCCGCTGATGACATACACCAAAAGAAGATACTAAGCCAAAGGACCTGATCTTGGTTTCATCCCGGAAATACCAATCATTGGAGATCATCATCCTAATTTAGATGAATAAAAACAAAATACATTGCAACCTCCAACCAGAGACCGTACTCCGTTCCTGTGCACCATAAAGAGCACCCTCCAAGGTCAGCAGCAATGGATACACCGCCAAGAAAGGTACCAGCGCTGGACTCGTTCTGGACATCTCGCCCTTGGATCATAACAGACCCAAAGAATGGGGCAGTTCAACATTGTTTTACATAGTTTAACAGTTTAACCTATAGTTTCACAAATATAGTTTAACATATAGTCTAGTGTATATAACATAATATGGTTTAACAATGGTTAACAATGTTTAACATATATATAATTTAATTAATATAGTTCAACACTGACCAAGATCTGAGGTTTGCCTTACATGCTGAACACCCCCATCACTGAGAAAGAACTAAAGGGAAAGTAGAAAAAGACTGCCTTCAAATTTCAGTCGTCCACCACATCTGGATCACTGGAAAGGATCCAACCAAACTTCCGGCAAAATATCACCACACTTACCGAAGCTGTCAAAGACAGAGTCAATGCCTCAAGAGCCGATTACAAAAAAAAACTGAAGGAGGAGTTGATTGATAAATCTCCTTTCGAGGGGGCCCTTGAAAGTACGGCCATCCCAAAACACCGACAGACTTTCGAATGATCGTCTAGTTGCGCTAGCTAAGAGCCTTCGTAAGGTCCAAAAGGACTTGCGGCTCACAGCCCCGCACTCCTGTCCTTCACAAAATGCTGCAAGAATCGGTGGAATGAATGCTTGTGCCGCCCAGCTGAATGGATTTCCAATCGCCACAGCAGAAAGGAGGAATAGGGTTTGAAAAAGCTGATGCGCAGCAGCAGCTGTGGTTCCAAAGGAACAAGCAGCTGTGGTCATGTTTGCCAGCACCAACATCTTCAAAAAAACAGCCAGGAGGACAGGTCCCGCGAATCGCAAAAAGCGCGAGATCGATCGGAAATTCCGGGGCCAAGCAAAGGGCCGAGGCCATCGGCCACTCTTCACCAGCGCACAGATCAGGTAGGCATAGCCGATCAGAGAGGCAACCACCGAAGCGGCCGCCACCCCAGCCAGACCATATTTTGGGCTCAGCCTGGTGAATTCATCCAAATCGGATCCCACTTGAAGATCATGAAGACATCAGATATCCTAAATATTCCTAAATTATGTTAACCCATTGTCAACTATTGTTAACCCATTTTTCTGGTATTTTTTCATGTGTTAGAAAAAGGTTTATGGTTGCACCACCCAGCAACAGTCCGTCAGCAACAACATTGATCACCATGCCCACCAGGGTGACCATTAGAGGCGTAGCCCCATCTTTGGCCGCCAAACAGAAGGAGGTGGCCACTGATGTGCCGCGCTCGATGGGTGCACCGATGGCCCGGATCTGAAGGTAAATCATGGACAGCGGCAACATCGCCGGGGTGGCGCCCATCAAACGTGTCAAGGGTCCGGCCAAGGCAAAGAGAAATAGGGTCAGAAACAAACCAGAGCTGGTGGCCAGAAAAATGGCGTGCGATCTGATCTTACGAAGCTGTAGTGGATCACCAGCTGACATGCCCAGCAGGCTCAGGGTTGCCGTATTCAAAAAGGTCAACACCAGAGAGGCACTGTCAAAGACAGAAGCTGCGGGTCCCATGGCCGCAAGCTGCAAAGAACTGGACCGACCCAGGAAAGCTTTGTCCACGGTGGTCATCGAGCTGTTGGCCAAGACCAAAAAGAAAGAAGGCAAAACGAATCTTGCAATTTCGCCAGCTGCTGGGACACTTGCAGCTTCAGGGCCTCCATCCAGCTCGGGTGGCTGTCCACTGGGTCCCGAACCCTCAGAATCTGAAATGGTCTCCACAATCGTTGCAGGATCTGTGGTGGTTATACTGGCTGTTTGTTTCGAGCTGGGACGGCTATTTGGCATGTCAGCTCGCATGCGCCGCAGCATTCGGCTCTGAGTATAGGGATCGTAGTACTGTCGCGTCGACTCCAATTTCAAAACAAGCCAAAGCGAGATGAAGAGTGGAGGTATCCAAACGTGACGAGGCATCCATTCCAGACCTGGCCGATCAAGTCGAAGCCTCACCCCAACTGCTAACTAGTACCTTTTTCACGGACTTATATGGGTGTGTCCGAAAATGGGTGCACCCCAAAGTGGCAGTTTTTACTTGGGAAATGATGATAAACCGTTAGATTTTAGGGGTACCCAATCTTAGACAAACCAAGAATAAAATGGTTTGTATTGCCATTTTTGAAACTGCAAGTCTCCATGTTTCCCATGTTTTTTCGACATCAGCCTCTGAGGAAGAACTTCCCCAGCACTTCCGCTTGCACCACAAGGACGTGCCCCGAGGCGATCGCTGTAGCCGGGATCAGGGCCCCGAGCATCGCCGAGCGCAGGAAGGGCTGCAGTTCAAAGAATTCTGCAGGTGGCCTCGTCACCGTGACACACGTGGAATGGGGATCGAATTCAGGCATTGATGAAAATATATGCAACATAAGGAACCATTGAAATTCATAATGATTCATATAAACATATATATATAGTTAAACCCACCTACCACATGCCAAGTAGGGGGTTTAAGACACCAAACGCAAGCAACAACGGCAAGTGACTTTTACCACAGTGTTTGAGCCAAATGTAAATGTGGCAATGCCAAAATTAGTTCTTCACAACTGGAAAGACAAGCTAGATACAAGGGGTGATAAGAGGGATGCCTTACGGCTATTTCTCATGCTTCTCGTTGTGGTCAACAGATCCCCGAAAAACATGATTCCGAGTGGAATTGAGATAACAAATCAAACGCAAGGTTTGCCTATCCTCCCAAGCTGTCCATTTGGAAACCCTTGTTGTTAACCGTCCAACAACAAAACTGATGTCGGGTCTCGCCAGCCATGACAACCACAAGCACCTCATGAGAATGCGAGCAGCGTGCTTATGCAATACCCCTTCTCGCATGAAGTCTGCATCGGACATTGACGATTCAGGCAAGCACGAATTTGGCGCTGACTTCAACTTTTCTTGGAGGGTTCCGGATAACTCAAGTATAGATATGCACACGCCCATCCACTGTATTCATCCCTGATGACCTGAACACTGTGCTCTTTCCCACTGCTAAGCTTTTGCACAATGATGAAGTCTGTGGCGATCCGCTGACCGAACTGGGTAGTCGGGTCAAGAGCCCCCTTGTCCTCTAAAAGATCATGTCTAAACCTTCTCACCTTCTTGCGATACATGGGGCATGCTGGATTCTTCGGCTACAAGCCTACGCATGCGATCAATTGGTTCCTCACCTTTGTCATCACCATCCGATGAATGATCTGGAACATCTGGATCAACCTGTGCTGGCCGCCCCAGAGGGTGTGCAGGCGGTACTGGATCCGCAACTTCACCGGCAAGGCCCTTCGAAAATTGCAACTGCTCTTTGAAAATTGGAACAAAATCATCAACCCGATCTACATAATGAAGCTTACACTTTTCAGCAGAAATTTGAACATCACCTGATGACATTGCAAAGTAGGGTAACTCATTGGGAAGCCAAATGAAAGGTTTACCAGAACTGACCATCTGATCCAAGAAGCGAACAATGGGGCAATCCTCCAGGACTCCATGACGCTGAAACTTGCATTCCCGAAGCGGTCTCCGACCAACTTGACACAAGAGTCACTAGTGTAAGTCCCGTTACCATACCCGATCGAATTATGGGGGAGACGTCGCACCCGGCTTCTTGTAAGATAATTCCAGGGGACTTCCAAAAACCCTATAAAAAGAATTGGTTTTGGGGAATTTTGGCCCTTACAAAAAGCATAGGTTTTTAGCACCCACATTCGACTTCAAACACCTATACCATTTTATAAGGCGATGACTCTCTTCATGATATGAAAGTTGCATCCTACTCGATGACCTTTTTATAAGAAGTTGTGATTTTAGAGAGCGTTTTCGGGCATCATTTTGTAAGGAAACAACTTCTGGTTCCCTGTTTCTGGTTTTCCCGGACTCGTTGATTTTCAAGCAGCCATTTTTGTAAGCAGCTCTCAAATGATTGAGGCGAATCAAAAACATGTACAAATCTGAACAATACTTTGTATCAATGCCTAAAAAGCATATATTCTTTCAAAAAGGTTCTTCTACTCTTGACGACATCTCCTTACAAAATGTCATTGCACACCCTGCTGAGTTCTTTTTTGTTTTTTGATGTTCAATAACAACATCTTGAGCTTACAAAAAGCCTCAAAAAGACAAACTCGATGGTCTTATAAAATGACTTGGCACCTCCAAACTCTTACGAAATGAACACTTGAAAATCTACAACTTTGCCTTTTGGGTGCCCTGTTACAAAATGCCCTGGTTAGGGGGATCATTGTAACTACAAAATGCCTATATATAAACCATTTGTAGTGGGGTCGACCCCTTCCATTCTGTAAGGGAAATTCGAACGGGGATCCGTTACCCGTTTCAAATCTAGTTAGCGTTACTCCAAAGGTGAGATTATTGATGACTTCTTTTGGCAACCCTTGCTGAAAGAATGCACGTTCGGAACCTAGGTCACGACCCGCACCACTACCTGCAATCCACTCAATCTCAAAACTCTTTGAGCTAGTTGACTGAGCCAACATGGCTGGCTGATGCGACAGGATGGCAGGGACACAAAGGCAGGCATCTTTGACACCTACGCCGTTGCTATTCCACAGTGTTGCAATGGTTGCAAACCCCTGTGCGTCAAGCAAACCAACTGCAAAGGACATCATTGTGATGAAAGGACGAACTATGGCATTTACAGACGACTTGAACACTGACCAGGCAGATTTCTTCAAAGTCTCATCCGATTCTTGATGGGACACACTGGATGCCTGTGCACTGGGGAGACCAGCTGAACCCACGCCACAACGAATGCTACGGTTGCTTTTGCAGTTGCCGCTGCCTTTGGCTTGGCTGCTGCTTTTGGTTCGTGGAGGAAAGGACACTGATCACCTCGATTGCAAGTACCCTGTGGATAAAACAAACAAGGAACCGTTGATGCCTTAGCCTTTGGCCTCAGCTTTGCGTCTTTCTTCTCATCAGGCTTTGACTTACCTTTTCCTTTGCCGTCCCCTTTACCAGAACCGGCACCTTTGGAACCTTCGTCACTGGTTTTGGGCTTCGCCTTTGGCTTTGCCTTGGGATGTGAAGTTGGGCTTGGCAAACCTTTGGAACCCTCACCCTTGCCACCTTTAGCATCCTTTAGCACCATCTTTGCTACCTTTGGGGTCATCTGTGGCCACGGCCGCCTTTGGCGCCGGTTTGGCTTTCGGCTGCAGTGACGCCCGAATGGACTCTTCATTTTGGTCCTCCCGAGATTCAGCAACTACAGTCTTTATTTTGTTCATAGGCCACTCCCAACTTCTTGTCTTGGACGTTTCCTTGGAGTCTCGGATGCGATCGATGTGCCTCTGAAGAACCTTGCATCTTTTCACACGGGAATACAACCAAGTGAAACAAGTTGTCTCGGAAGGTTGGTGTGACTCTGAAATTGCGTTCAATACATACTCGATTTTGTGGGTAAAATTATCCAAGTCCTTTGCTGAAAATCCATCTCGAGACAAATCTAGCAAGGCTTGTTGGGTAAATCAAATCTGAAATGTTGGTTCAACACAGAAAGGAAAGCACGGCCACGGGGTGCCTTGCCTGCATTTTGACAAGACTCTGCATATGTTTGGAACTGCATACCTAACTCCCCTTTGAGGTGTTTCGGATCCATCATGAGCGACCGATGTGCATGTCCAAACGTGGGAGTAAACCACTATGCAAAAAGTCCTGCAGTTGCAAACCTTCAGTGAAACATTCCAGCAGCCAGCTCAACACAACATCTGAACCAGCCTGGTTGATGGCAGCAATCCTAGTCAGTATCGTGTTTTTTCATGACCTGAACTCTGCAGCTGAAGCTGGAAGGCTATCAATCTTTATCAAAGATAAGTCCTTGGAACGATACACATCTTTTTTAATGAAAAACCCAACACATTTGATCCAACTCCAATAGACATTGCATGAGCGTGTGGCGACAAAGGATCCCCATAATCAGGTGGACCCTGTGGCGGTCCTGGGCCACCTCCGCCACGCCCGCTACTGTCCGACAACGAGTCACTTCACCCCCCTGACGATCCAAGCTCCACAGGTGTAATGGATACTGTTGATAAAGACAACAATGTTTTGACTGGAACCCCATCCGCATTACTACGACCATTACCAGGTGCAGGCGCACCAGGATTAAATCCGACACATGCGGACATCGCTGACATAGGTGTATACTTTGGATTCTCTTCGAAGTTAAGAGGTTATAACTAGGGTTAAGATGAAGTTACATAAGTTCAAGTTAACTTTATCTTAACCTAGTTTCTAACTTCCTAACTTTTTTTGGATGTTTTTCCTGAAAAATGAGATTGGCATGAAAACGGCCTGCTGAGCACTTTTTTTCAGCACAGAAGCGACAGCATGTTGTCATCTTCGATCCTATATAGACATGACTCGAACGGTTTTATTCAAGTTTTTTACCACCATGAGGCCACGCGCGACGAGTCCACAACCCTGACCCCTCAGCCAAAGTGGCTGCAAAAAACTTCTTCCTTTGGGCTTAAACCGTAGCAAACGCGGATGCAAAATTTAGGTGATTTTGTCCGGGAGACGCGGACAAATTGAATTCCAGGTTTTCGACAAGCAACATCATCGAGGACAACTCCGCGGACAATTGTATGCTAAAGATGCCACTTTCCATTTAACGCAGACATCTGCGCGGACACGTTTTTTCAGCGGACTTAATCACCACGCCTCCAAAAACGTAGACAAACGCGGACAAACGCGAACAAATCGCGGACAATCCACTTCAGAGATTTTGGTCAGTCCTTTCTGGTGCTTCTGAGCAAATTCTGCCACGTTGCACAGTCCAGACTTCAGTCTTGGCAGTATGAATCTAGGTAGCCTCGGGAAGCTGCCTCGAAACCAGCATCAGAGCTTCCAGGTGTTCCAAGACCACCTGTGGTTTCTCCGCTTGGTAGACGGTCATTTGTTAACGACATCCAACCACCCAAAATACAACAAAAATACATTGTTTGCAAAAAAGATTGTAATTACTTTACTTCGTGTGATCCCCACCATGACATTTATACATTTTCTTACTGGCAAATCTTCTGGCATTCTATCTGACATATCTTCTGACATTCTATTTGGCATTCTATCTGGCATATCTTCTGGCATATGATCTGGCATATCTTCTGGCATATCTTCTGGCATTCTATCTGGCAAATCTTCTGTCATTCTATCTGGCATATCTTCTGGCATTCTATCTGACATATCTTCTGGCATTCTATCTGGCATTCTATCTGGCATTCTATCTGGCATATCTTCTGGCATATATTCTGACATATCTTCTGGCATTCTATCTGACATATCTTCTGGCAAATATTCTGACATATCTTCTGGCATATCTTCTGGCATATCTTCTGGCATATCTTCTGACATATCTATCTGGCATATCTTCTGGCATATTTTCTGGCATTCTATCTGGCAATTCTTCTGGCATTCTATCTGGCATTCTATCTGGCATATCTTCTGGCATATTATCTGGCATTCTATCTGGCATATCTTCTGGCATATCTTCTGGCATATCTTCTGACATTCTTTCTGACATTCTTTCTAACTTTCTTCTGCACATTCTTTGTCCCATATCTTCCTACATGAGGTCCGGCAGGGAACACTTGGCGTGGATACTCGCGGTTGTGGTCCGGCAGGGAACACTGGGCGTGGATGGTCGTGGTTGAGGTCCGGCAGGGAACACTGGGCGTGGGTGGGCGTGGTTGAGGTCCGGCAGAGAACACTGTGGATCGCGGGTCGCAGTTGAGTGGACGACGAGGACGAGAGGACGACGACGAGGACGACGAGGACGACAAGGACGACAAGGATGACAAGGAGGACGAGGAGGACGAGGAGGAGAGGAGGAGGACGAGGCAGGAGTCAGGAGGAGGCAGGAGGAGGCAGGAGGAGGCAACTGGCATAAAATCTAACAACCCTCACCTGGCAGGTGGGGAAAAACCATACAAATGTTAACTTCCTAGCTTCTTCCTAGTTCGACTACTTTTGTAGCTAACTAAGTTATAACCTCCTAAACCACTTATAAGTCTTCCAAAAAATAACGCTAAGATACAACCAAGGTAGCCAGCTTAAGATAAAGATAGCCAGTTATAAGCTATATTATAGACCTACTTACGCAATAATAACTTACGTTATAAATCCTTAACTTTGGGGAAATTCCAAAGTATAGCATACTCACCATGTGGTGTTCCAATTGGGATAGGAGCTGGAGGCTGTGCAACAATCGGAATCCTGGGACGATTCTGCAAAATGCGAACATCATTCTGCAATTGCATTGTGACTTGAACCAGCTCATTTTCGTTTACCGCGCCATTTTCAGGTGTTTGGTTTTCGGAAACAACTGGCTGGGAACGCATTGCTTCGACTTGTTGCTGCAACCCTTGGACTACTGAACGCATTTCTCTTTGTTCATGTCTTCGTTGGTTAAGTAGATACTCTTGCTCTTTGAGCTTCTCTGATTTTCTTGGAGGGCATCGTGCAACAGTTGTTGAGAGTTCTGATGAGCTTCATTGGAAATCGGCTGAATCCTATCTATCTCCTGTTGATGCTTGGTTTGCATCTCTGAGATTAGATCATGGGCCCTACTTTCAACACCTTTAGTATGAAGTTGTGCTTATTGCTGCAACACTTCACCTTGCGTTTGCATGGCATGGGGCTCAGATTCTAATTGACTCCTGGCCGCACTTACAATAGCACTGGCCTCTGACCTAATTTGGAATTCACGACCCCTAGCCTCACTTACAGCAACATGAGCTTGGGACATGATCTCAGTTTCACGGGCTACCACGCCATCCGGATCCACCCTAACCGTGACCTGAAGCTGCCTCTGATCCTGATCGTGGACGAAGGTCCGCTGATCTTGCAAGACAATGTTCTGGCCCTGACGGTGCTTTGAGTAAGACCTTTGGTCTTGGGAATGGATTGATCCCGGCCCCCGATGTGTGATCTCCCTGGATGATCGACCCGTTGGAGGCCTAGACCCTTGGCTGCTACTTCGGGATGAACTCTCTGTTGCACTCTGCTTTGTACTAGATTTCTTTACATGGAGTGCCCTGGAAGGAACCGACGGAACCAACTGCTCTGGTGATGTTGATGAGATTTGCAGAGATGACTCTTCTGATTCCGGGGCTCCCGTGGTTATCTCATTTATGGTTGGCATGACGCAGGCTGACACTACTTAGCAAAATGCCGGACCTTTGAAAACAAAGGGGTCAAAACCTGTGATGCGAGGTCGATGCCAAATCCCTCGGGTATGGATGCTTTTGGAGGGTAATGCTCAACAAACCTTTGGATTGGATCACACCCTGTCTTCAATCACTTTGGACCGAAAGTTCTATGCTATGCAAGCCACAATGTTGCCGGTCGGCAAGCCCCTGCGTCAAAATTTCCAAATTACTCAATTTCGCGATCTATCGGGCAAGGATTGGACGGAATGCAACTTGCTCTGGCCAGCTCGATTGCCTCCAACACGTTGCGCTTCCTCTCCGTCTGAATCAGCCGTTGGTGCCTCCAGTGTCGTGGAACTTTGACCCCAACAAACAAGATATTGGGGTTACGGCCACTCGCAGTTGAGAATGTTTCTGCAATGTCCGTAGCGTCGTCAATGTGAGCACTGCCACAAGACTGATGAGCCAACGCCCCCAACGCGAAAAGCTTCCCACCAGTCCAGATCCTCTCAGATGTGACGATCACGTGATCAAAAGGGTTGTGTGGCAATTCTGCAATGCCCAACACGCCCCTTCCATACTCGAGACAATGACAGTAGATCAGCAAAACTACCACGCAATCTGGGAATGCTGCTCTCAATCTGGAAATTGCCTGCCCCAATTCCGGCACGATTCTGTAACCCACTGGACGAAGGGTAGCTTTGGTCAGTCGGATTGCGTCACAAACCTGATTGATCAAAATTCGATCTGTGCATTGAACCCTCGGATGTGGGACGATCTCAATTCCAATCCTTGACAGGTAGGGAACCGGCTTGCCAGTTGGGTGGACAGATTGTGCAGAAGTTGGCCTTGGTTGCAGCAATGGATTGGCCGATGTCACAGACCCCCGCAAATGACCGAGATTTTGGAACTGTAGGCTGATACACCGATGGTCTTGGGACACAAACAACTGTTGATGACTCACTAGCAGGTGGATTCTGATGATCTGATTCAGATGCCGATGCAGATGAAGCACACACAGAGTCACCCACCACTGAATCGATCTCCTCCTCCTCTTCAAACCTCTGGAGCAATGGCTGTCCCCTCCTGGGGATGAAGGATATTCGCCCGGATTTTTTTTGCCCGGTCGACAACCTGCTGTCTCCTTCGGATTGTTGCCACGCCAAAAGTACTGTGGTCGTCAAAGTCTCGGTGAGCGGTCAATGCGTCAAACAGTGACACAATATATTCAAGAAGGCACAGACACGCGGATTTGAATCTTCTACGCCACTGTATTCACAAGGACAGGCCTGATGCAGAAAGCCGGGGATGATAGTGGACACGAACTATAGAGGCAGGAAATACGCAGCTGAAAGGAGAATGCGCCATGTGCTCTAGGTGAATATGAGCGTGACTTCTCCACATCTCCTTGCCAAAGCTGACATGCCGGGATGAGGTTGCGCGTTGTGCCTGCAAGTGCATCACATGCAAGTCAGCCAAAAAGAACCTCACGACCGCAACATCAAAGAATCAACATCAGGGAATCCATGTGCATCTGTAGAAATGGGGTTTCAAATGGCTTCAGACAGAAACAAGCTGGCCCTCCTCATCGTCTTCCTCATCTGAATGCGGCAAGTCATCTGAAGATAGGAAGCCTATGCCTGCAAAGCACTGTCTGGAAACATTTTTGACCCAAACCCTGCATTATTTGAGCAGGTCTTTGGTTGAACATTCTTGAGCTTCCCGCAGAAAGACCAACTTAACAGGACCGACTGCTGCCAAAGACTGCCTCATGACTTCTTCATTCGTCCCACAACACGCATGAAGATCCTTGCCTTTTCGCGATGCTCTGTAGCTAATTTGAGAAGGTGAAGATTCCGTCACATCCTGCCCATCTCATCTTTGTCACTAGAATCACGTTCCATGCAAACACATGTGTGCAATTCTCGCTTGACATCATTTGCAGAAATCAAAAATCTGATCATGAAGATAAACTTACGACTAGCATCGATTACCTGAATAGCCATGAAAACACTGACTTTGCGAAAATCCCTCTGGCCTTCCCCGACAAAAGGTGCGGGGCAACAGTTGGCCCAGGGCGTTTAACCGTCGGCGCAGCGCGTTTCGACGGCGGCTGCTCAGACAGGTCCTGCACAAAGCAAAGTGACTCAACTGAACCTCTCTCGGTTGAGGCACTTTGCGTTTGGACCTGCTGCATTGAAAACACATGTACCTTGCACAGAAGAAGTTCATTTCTCCTCTTCAGCAAGTGCTCTCTTCGGTTGCTGCGCTCTGTCCTCCCGCGATCACTGCGATTTATTGCAGCACTATGCATTGCTACTAATCTGAACATCACAGGATTGCGTGATTGTGTACTGTTGCTGTTCCCTGTTCGACACTCGGAAAATGCTCCAAAATGTGATGTCACTCCAAACACTCCTGCAGCTTTCCAATCGAGAGGACCAACTGCTTCGTCAGGCGCCACGCCTCGGGCTGTGACCGGCTAACACTACACACATGCACATTCCTTCAATCTCCCCTTCCCGCACCTTCGGCTTCAGCGGCGGCGCATTGGACGGCATCAGTCTATCCCGCTTAGCGTGAGAGCCAAACCCACGCTTGCTGCAGACAATAGAGAGCTGGTCGTCCGCTGCCAGTCACTTCCATCAAAAAGCGTACGAGAACTGAGTCTCAGGAAGACTCCCATGAACAATGAACATGTTCATCCTAGGTCCTAGGCGCTAGGCTATCCTTCTAACATGTATATGATTACTGTATATGTGTACAATATACGTATATATATATATATACATATGCATATGATATATATATATAACTTTCTCACCAACAACATGGGGAAGTACTGAATGCAGTTCATCAATATATAACATGCAGATCTTTGCAGTTGTCATGGTCAGTGATATCGGTCGAAACAGGCCAACTTCCAGAAAGCCAAGAACCACATAGTGCTTTATTTGTATGGTGAAATCGTGAACTCCGGAAACCCATCACCAAAAGATTCTTGCATATATTATATATATTGTTTATGTTAGCTGTTCCCAGTCAACATGCGCCGGGTCCATTTTTGGCTGCGGACCAGGGGGCAATCGAATGGGGGGGGGCCACACCCCCGCCCTAAGTACAGATTCAATACTCTCAGCTCTCAATTTCCGGGAAAGGGCCAGCCACCTTCCCCAATACTAAACTAGTACTAAAGTACATAGAACTCAGGTAGCCTCGGCTACCTTTCGGGATCACACTGGAATTTCAAGTTCAAATCGTTTTTGGTGCTGGATATAAGTTTGATAGAACAGTGGCGGTGGAGCAAGCAATAGGGGGCTCAAGTCCTAGAGCTAGCAAATATGGATGGCCAATTGGTGGCCTAGGCTGAGGCTGTTAACCAGTTAAACTTAAACCCACCTACCACAGTCAAGTAGGGGGTTTACGACACCAAACGCAAGCAACAACGGCAAGTGACTTTTACCGCAGTGCTTGAGCCAAATGTAAAGGTGGCGATGCCAAGATGAGTTCTTCACAACTGGAAAGACAAGCTAGATACTAGGGATGATAAGAGGGATGCCCTACGGCTATTTCACATGGCATATCATAACTGATATATATATATATGTGTGTGATTATATATTTGTAATTATTGTACCTGGTTTGATTTTCATTAACATGATTTGCGATTCTATTAAAGTAGCTCCCCCAATGTCAACGGATGATCATCTTTTTCCCAAACGTTGCCAAATTTGAGGAGTACAGCCCATTTCCAGACACACACCCAAGTGGTGAGCAAAGGACCAAAACTGCAAGGTCGCTACAGTAGTGACCCAAAAAAAACTCTGTGTAAAAAAGGTCGGATCCAATTGCCGCGTCTGGCAGATTTGAATCCAGGTGGCAGCCGCGTTTTTTTGGGTTGAAGCCGGTAAGCTCGAAGTTCATTCCCAGGGGCAGATGCCATGCAGGCCACTGCAATCGAAATGAAAATCCTGAAAGCCTCGCCACCCAATGACAGCTTCACACCCGGTGTGGCCAACTGGATCATCATGAAATGTCGAGTGATGCCATAGATCAAATCCCGGAGCAAGGTGGGAAAATAAGCTTGATAGAGTTTCTTGAACTTCACCTTCAGCTGCAAGCTCTTGATGTAACCTCAGCGTTTGAAGCCCATTAATCGTAAACTAGCATGCTGAATCTCCATCGTAGTGGTGAGCAGTGTGTTTGCCCCTCTGCTTTGAAACTTGCTCTAAGTTTCTAAGAGAAAGAATGTCCAAAGAAATCCAAAGAAACACGTTCCTTTTATGCTGGCAGTCGAATATGTGAATCCTTTCTCACTGCCAACACTGAGGAACGGTAGTTTGCCAGAGGCAAAACTGCAGAGGTGTAGATCACAGCAGCAAAGATGCCCTGCAAAGGATAAGGGATGAAGGACCAGGTCGTTGAAAAGTCATTGACCGCTTCGAAAAATGGGAACTTCAAGAGATTCCTTGGATTCGAAGGGTGAGGAATCCGATTGAAGGACTGCTTTGCTGTGAGCCTGTGATCTGCATACCCAAATTTACCAAAACTCGCTTCCGATCACTTTCTAGGTGGTGTATATGAAAAAAAAGACTATAGATTGCAAGGACCATCAATTCGTGCAAATGATCAGAAAATGTCGACTGGCTCCTCTAAAAATGCTTCTGCCTGTTTCCAGTGTTTGCTGATCGTTCCCATCTTTTGTTCGAGCCCCGTGGCCACAGGATCCACGTTTTGCTGCTTGAATACCACTGTGTCTCATTCAATTGTCTCCCTTCAATGTTTGAACTCCCAACATGTCAAACCTCCCTTCTTGTTTCAACCAATCATCGCAATTACTTCAATCTCCCTTCCCCCCGACAATAAGGTCTGTCTTATTGGTGAAAAAAATACTTTACTTCGTGTGATCCCCACCATGACATTTATACATGTTCTTACTGGCACATCTTCTGGCATTCTATCTGACATATCTTCTGACATTCTATTTGGCATTCTATCTGGCATATCTTCTGGCATTCTATCTGACATATCTTCTGACATTCTATGTGGCATTCTATCTGGCATATCTTCTGGCATTCTATCTGGCAAATCTTCTGGCATTCTATCTGGCATATCTTCTGGCATTCTATCTGACATATCTTCTGGCATTCAATCTGGCATTCTATCTGGCATATCTTCTGGCATATCTGACATATCTGACATATCTTCTGGCATATCTTCTGGCATCTGACATATCTATTCTGGCATTCTATCTGGAATATTCTTTGGGGCATTCTATCTGGCCAAATATCTTCTGGCTGGCATTCTATTGACATATCTTCTGGCATCGGGCATTCCGATCATCGGAACATTTATCTTTCTGCATTATATTCTGAAATAATCTTCTGGCATCTATTGCTGGAATCTATCTGGATTACTTCTGGAAGGATCTTCGGGCATATCTATCTGGATATCTTATGGCATATTTTTATTGGGCATTTCTTCTGGCATATCTATCTGGCATATCTTCTGGCATATTTTCTGGCATTCTATCTGGCAAATCTTCTGGCATTATATCTGGCATTCTATCTGGCATAAATATTCCTTGGGCATAAATTCTTCTGGCATTCTTCTGGACTAATCTTCCTGACATTTCTATTGGCATTTTCTATCGGCATATCTTCTCGCAGAACTTATGGCATTCTATTCTGGCAAACTCTTGTGGCATTTCTATCTGGGCATTCTTCTGCATTTTATCCTGAAATATTCTTTTCTGGAATTTTCTATTGGCATTCTATCTGGCATATCTTCTGGCATATTATCTGGCATTCTATCTGGCATATCTTCTGGCATATATTCTGACATATCTTCTGGCATTCTATCTGGCATATCTTCTGGAATATCTTCTGGCATATCTATCTGGCATATCTTCTGGCATATTTTCTGGCATTCTACCTGGCAAATCTTCTGGCACTCTATCTGACATTTTATCTTCCTACATGCGGTCCGGCAGGGAACACTTGGCATGGATACTCGCGGTTGAGGTCCGGCAGGGAACACTGGGCGTGGATGGCCGTGGTTGAGGTCCGGCAGGGACCACTGGGCATGGATGGCCGTGGTTGAGGTCCGGCAGGGAACACTGGGCGTGGATGGTCGTGGTTGAGGTCCGGCAGGGAACACTGGGCGTGGATGGTCGTGGTTGAGGTCCGGCAGCGAACACTGTGGATCGCGAGTCGCAGTTGAGCAGGAGGACGAGGAGGACAACGAGACGAGGAGGACAACGAGAGGAGGAGGACAACGAGAGGAGGAGGACGACGAGAGGAGGAGGAGAGGAGGAGGAGGAGAAGGCAACTTAGATAAAATCTAACAACCCTCACCTGGCAGGTGGGGAAATATAAATCCCTCTATTGGTGGTTTCTTAAACCAAATGGGTTTGTCTGAGAACAGGATGCCCCCAAGATTTGCTATGGCCATCAATTCTTCCGGGTATCCCCCATTTTCAGACGCGCCCGTATCATATTGTTGATGCTTTAATCATATATCCTATGGTAGTCCTGTGATATTCCCATAATAAACCATCTCGAAGTGGATTCAACATCACAAACATTTCTCAAACCATCTTAAGCCATCCTAAACCACCTTAAACCAACTTAAACCATCTTAAATAAATCCCAAAAATTGCTGGTGGCCCCTGTTTTCACCGTCCCACCGGGCATCGTGGCCAGCACCGTTCGAAAGAACCGCAGGATGTCGATGAGACGCACCTCGCGGATGGCTGCGCCCACTGTCATCCGCTTCACGGCCACGCGGTTCAGCACGGGTTCAGTAAAGGCTTGCAGCAGTGCCGCCACCACAGCGGCCTAGGGCTGGGACAAAATGACAAACAGCTGCGATTTATGCATGTATTATATATTTATACATGTATGATATGTATTTATAATATATATATATATATATCATAGCTTGGGTGCATAATATGCAAAATATTTACATCTGTATGGACTGTATTGATCTATATATATATATTATGCAGATCTTATTAATTGTGTGGAAGAAAATCACGGTCATGCTATGAGAGAATGTATATACTTACTTAGCAATCTAGAATGCTTGGCACATGATATGTACTTGGCAAGGCTACAGTAGTGGAGGGAGATGAGTGACGGAAAAAGGAAGCATGTCAGTGTGGAATGTGGAGAAATCCAGTTTTACTGTTTTTGTTCATCCAAGCAGTGCCATCCGACTTGTCCCAATGACCCAATGAGGTACGATGGAAGTCAACCACAAGTTCTTGCAGTCTAAAAGACCCACTTCTGCGCCATTCCAAATTACAGACCAGACTCACGGATGGCCTTAATCAACTTGCCAACTTCCCTTTCGAATCTTTCAAAAAAAGAACATGTCACAAGCAAAATCTTGTCCAAGTAGCCAATGCCCCTACACAGGCTTGTCTTCCAACATGGCCCAGTAGCACTGCCTTCCTGGCCACTCCGCCAGCCCTGCGCCACCGCCGCTCCCCTGGTGCCGGCAGTGGCAGCTCTCTCCACCTTGCCCGCGGCGACGCGGCGCATGCGGCGCAGGGTACCAGCACCGGACGCGGCAAATGTGGCGGCAGAACTGTGGCCATCGGGACGCCGGTCGCATGGTGAACGTTCATTCAGTGGTGTTTTCCAGAGGGACTGGGGTTGAGAAGTTGAGACTTGACTTGTCAATGGATTCTTTTAGGCTAGTGATGGAAGATTGCTCACGGATTTTCCTTTTTGGAGTTGGCCGTGCTTTGTGTGGTTAAGCGATGTGAGTTCAAGTCAATTGCAGCCAGGCCACGTGGGATGAGGCAACCTCCTTCAGAATCTGTCCTTAAAACCCAAAGTAGAAATTGAGATGGATCCATGTTCACCCCATCTCGCAGTGCCTGGGTAGCCTGGCTGAACTCCGTTCGATTCACTGTTTTTTGATGTGTTTTGGATGCTTTGCTGCAAGGTATTCTTGAGCAAAGCACCTGCTTCCGGCAGGGTCAGTTTCACCCTGAACTCTCTGCCTCCGACTGACCTTTCCATCCAGGACTCTGCAAAAAACTCTGTCTTGAGTTTCAAATGTTATCTGAAGGTACTAAGCAGAAATCCAAGTTCTCAAATGTACCAAGTGTATCCCAATATCCCGTCTTCTATATCACACAATATCACACATCTCACTACATTTGGTTGAGCAGCAGCAGACAGCACTTCCCTAGCCAGAAAGACACACCCACTGGAAGTCACCTTCTCAGTCTTCTCTGAGAATTCTGTGGATGGCAGGGAGTAGAAACTGGCACCTCGGGTTGCCACTTAAATTTAGCCCTTGGAGTTGGAGTGGTTCCAGGTTTCCACATCCATGTTAACATCCTGCAGCAACTGTATTTATTATACCTTATATGTACCATATCACATCATAGCAAAACATATCACATCCGATCCCATCACACCATATCATATCATGTCATATCATATCATATCATATCATTTATGCGTCATACAATGTTATATATTTATATGTGTGTATGTATACATATATATATATGTATATATATATATATATGCATCTGTATATATATATATGTGTGTATATGTATATATATATGTGTGTGTTTTTATGTAAATATATATATATATGTATATATATATATACATATGTGTATATATATATGTATTAACCATGATTAAAAAAAATGTATGTGTATGTATGTATGTACGTATGTATGCATGCATGCCTGCCTGCCTGCCTGTATGTATGTATGTATGTATGTATGTATGTATGTATGTATGCATGTATGTAGAAACACATGTGTAAATGTATTTATGTACATATGTATAATATGTACATATGTATATATGTATATGTATATGTATATATGTATATGCCTGCGGACCGAAAACCGTTCCCGTAAAACGCACGTTTTTGAATATCGCGATTGTCGGGTGGAGTGGGGTGGGGTGGGGGGGCATGTTAACGTTCCTTGTACTTCGTACATGATATATTGCCATGCTGCTGAGATCTCTGGGATCGTTTACTACGTTACATGTTGCTACACTGCTGATGGGGTGGGGTGGGGGGTGGGGTTGGGGTGGGGGGGGGGGGGCATGTTAACGTTCCTTGTACTTCGTGCATGATATATTGCCATGCTGCTGAGATCTTTGGGATCGTTTACTACGTTACATGTGCTGATGGGGTGGGGTGGGGTGGGGTGGGGTGGTCATGTTAACGTTCCTTGTACTTCGTACATGATATATTGCCATGCTGCTGAGATCTCTGGGATTGTTTACTACGTTACATGTTGCTACGCTGCTGAGATCTCTGGGATCGTTTACTACGTTACATGTTGCTACGCTGCTGAGATCTCTGGGATCGTTTACTACGTTACATGTTCTATGTGGAATCTGATGAAAAAGTCAATTCCCAGCAACTTGAGTGCCAAAAGTGACCTCTTGATGGTGTATGCTAGAGCTTGGCAATGGAGATGCATTCACAAGAATGCTGACTGCCAGCTGATAACGGCGCATGCGTTGTAGCGATGACGCTGAAGAGCCAAAAAACGCGCCCCAAGTTTTTCCAGGATTTCCAATCATCAAATCAGCACGGCACTGTGGTAAAATCACCATTTGTTTAAAAAACGTGCGTTTTATGGGCACGGTTTCCGGTCCGGCGGGATGTATATGTATATATGCATATGTATAGGTGTATATGTGTATATGTGTATATGTGTATGCGTGTACATATATATATATATATATGTGTGTGTGTCTATGCATATGTGTATATTTGTATATGTGTATTTGTATAAATGTATTTTTAAATGTGTATATGTACATTTGTAAATATGAGTATCTGTAAACATATATATATATATATTTATATTTGTAAATCTGTGTATATATGTATTTATATATATATGTGTATATATGTGTATATGTATGAATGTATGAATGTATGTATGTACGTACGTACGCACGATGTCTGTCTGTCTGTCTGTATGTATGTATGCATGCATACATATATGTGTATATGTGTGTATATGTGTGCATATGTGCATATGTGTATATGTATATGTGCATATGTGTATATGTATATGTGTGTGTGTGTCTATGTGTATGTATATAGATATAGGTGTATATATATATGTGTGTGTGATGCATATGTATGTATGTGTATATATACAATATATATATATAGCGTATTATTGTATTGTAGTCGCTACATGTTTGTTGGCTAATGGATGCTAATGGATGTTAATCTAGTTGGTTTATGTGGTCCCCGGGATGAAGCATATCCTGAAAATGCACCCCATTCGGAATTTGCCCTTTGCCAAGAAACGCTTCACCGCGTCCACTGTGCTGGACTTTTTGTCCAACGCCCTGGCGTTTTGACCCTGGTTGATGGGGCCCCAACATGGGGCTTTTCCCATGGGTGTGTTCTGACGCCCTTATCGAATGACCTTTCTATGACCTTTTTATGACTTTGTTCTACCTTTTCCTATCTTTACTATGCTGACATGGTAGCAGTTTTGGGGATTAGAGATGAACCATCATCTACATGACACAAGGTCACCATTCGACAAGTAAAGCCCCATCATTCATTTCATTTCCCCCAATGTGGGTGTGTTCGGAAATAACACACCTCAAAATTTGATGGCTTATAGAAATGGTACCACCATTTTTCCCCTTATTTGATGGATTTTGATTGCTGAAAAAAACTGGGGTGCAGTATACCCGTCCGAGCCTTGCAGCCAAGAGTACCACGCTGGGGTCCAGGCATGCAACAGCGGTACCTGCGTATGTGTCAAACTTGTGGAATTGGATTGAACACCAAAATAGCTGGGATTATTGGGATTTATGGATGTTCATCCCCACACAATTCATGGAAAATTATGCATATAATTTGATTATTCCCCAACTGATGCCTCTGGTCTTGGGATCCTTCTATTTGTAGCCCCTGAGGAACTGGTGACGCCATGTCAGCCCATGAGAAAGCACCTTCAGAATTGGAGCAAACGCCCAAGCCGAGCGGATCCCAGCTCAAGTCACACGTAAAGTCCTTGCCTGCACAGGAACACCAAAGCAGCCACTAGAGCTCAACAAGCAAAAAAGGATGAATTACATGCCAAAGGTCTGGAGATGTAATTTGCAGCTATTTGTAAGATGCTGAGACCGGGAATGATGGAAAACAAGCAAGGAACTTACAACTCTCCACGTGAGCTCAACACCCCCGAAACTGCAGATAAGCTAACAACAAGCTCAAGTGTGCTTGGCAATGAGACCAAGGTAGTTTGGTCAAGCACCGGTAGTTCCGGCCAAAAACAATCTGCATTGCATCGCAGAAAAACACATACAAAATATTACAAAATCTCGCGTGAGTTGACCTTTCACAACATCACAAGCACCATGTGGCGCATCGTGTACACAACTGCCTGCTGTACCTTGAGCTTCAAAAACGGAAGAATGTTTTCCGGTTACTGCGGTTGGTGGTTGAGCCACCCCATGGCGGCGATCCCATGGCCTTCAGGTTTGCTAAGGTTCATGGGGTCCCATTCCAGAATGCCTCGCGACAACTTCGCACATCTGGGCATTGGGGTCAATGTCTGCATGGGGCAAGTATCGTTGGTTCATCCTTGGCCTACCTTACCATTGAAGATATTGAAGTAAACATGCTCTCATTGTTTCTAAAATGGCAGCTGTTCCATAGGGGTTTAATGAATACGTGTGCCTTCCTGCCCCAGCATGCACGTGAAAAACTTGAAGTAAACTCCAGCATTGCCAAAGCGTTCCATTTGCAAATGTTTCTACCACAGTCACTGCTGCACTTGAAAACACCATCTTCAGCCGCCTTCGACGGTACAAGGATCTGTGACATCAGCCGATGGCTCCACCGTATCGGCATCATGTTCCTATCATTGAGGCGGATGCATGTGGGATGGGTCAAAATTCAAGCAAGACACAACAAAGCTGTTTGGATATGTGTTTCCCTTTCCAGAACTAAGCCATCAACTTCTCCGAGCTTGACCCCAACCCATGTACATGAATGTGCAAATCTGGAAAGACAAATGCAAGCGGGTTGCATTGACCGGGTTGCATGGTGTGGATCCAGCGAAACAAAGCAGGTGAAAATACAGACCACATATATCCACATGTCTCTCCTCTATGAAATCCAAAAGAGCTATGGTGCAGCTTTCTTCCCGACCAGTCCCACCTCGCACTTTGTGGTCTCCTGTTCCTGCAGAGGAAAATTCCGCGAGGATCGGACTCAGATTACAGAGTGCCCTTTAGCCGCTCTTCAAAGAGCCATGCTGGTCTCTGCTCCTTTCAGCAAAATCAAAAACAACATAAAACAACCAATATAATTTCATCCAGCACGGGTTTGTTCAGGGGCACCCATTTCCCCAGGCTGTTGTTTGCAAAACATACGTACACCCAACTCATCGGAAAAAGGACAAAACATAGTAATTCAAAGTTTGCTGCAGGTGGGCAATTAGATGCTTAACCTTGAAACGTAAAGTTGGAAACAACTACGGGAAAAGGAAATATGTGTATGTATTATGTACATATATATATATATATGTATGTGTATATATATATATATATATGTATGTATATATATATATGTATGTGTGTATATATATATACTTATGCTTGTGTCAGCTCTTAGAGGTCCTCAGTTCCCCTTGCTGCCTCCCACTGGCATGGAATCCAAGCCATTTCCCCAGAAGGCATCCAACCCATTACCTGAGACAAATGGCTGCTCGCTTCTTTTCCACTACTCACGAGTCACGAGTCAAAAACATGAAAGTCCGTTTGAAACACCATGCAAATTTGTGATGGACAGATATGAAACTGGCAATATCTCAACAAAAGCACCTATCAAATGATCGATTCCCTGATTTTTTTTGGTCCCGTGTTTTGGAATCCTAGAAACTTTTTCGGGATGGGCATTCTCCACAACCAGGCCGTTCCAGACTCCAGACCACCAGGCATTGGTTGGAGCACAGCTCTTCGGAAATCAAACAAGGTTCCTGAATGATATATCAGATACAAGAATCACCTTTTTGAGGCTTAACCAGGACTTGCTCGAAGCGAAAAGGTGATGTCTAAATTTCTTGGCAGAATGAGGAAACACGACCGATAATACACTGAAAAATCAGGAGCCTTCATCAACCGATCAACCGGTCAAACACGCGGAATTCACTCTCAGCATCCCACTGGGAAGCCATATCCGGGCCACATGGCTGGGCAGTAGCCCATACCTTTCACCGGGGCAGTGTCCCAGCAGATGCTTGGCCCATGTTTTCCGATGATTTTCCCATTGAAACCTCCATGATGTTCGGGGATTTTCCATCGCCATGTTTCTATCGGAGGGTACCCCAAAAAATGGATAGTCGATTCTAAAAATGAACAGAATCTGCGGTCCTGCGGTCCTCTTGGATTTCACGGGTTTTAATTTTGCCCTATTTCCATTTGCCAAGGGGGGCGTTGCTTCATCAGAAACCGGTCCAAACAATCCATCCCCACCTTGATCAACCCATGGGACAGCATAACCGTTCTTCATGTCGCCTCCCAAGGATGCCAAGTGATGATACAGTACATCTCCAGATTGGCTCAAAATTGAAGGGGCTGGCAATCCATGTTTGGGGGTAACATGAGGTACCCAAAGTTTGAACCATCCCAAGTGAGCAGTTTCTAAAGATTATTTTGGACCGGATGGATTCCACAACAAACACATACAAATATCGGGACCTCTGCACATGAGAGCGTGCAGCCACCCCTATATCAATTGTCCGAATTATCATACAGGATTCTCGACTTGCATGGTCATAGCTATCATCCAGTGGCCCCAGGGCCTTCTTCCTCCAGCGACCATGAGCTCTCTGTTCGAGCCCAGCCATCGCCCCTGACGGCGATCGCTATGGGGGATCGTTTTTTCATGGACCCCAAAAATCTGTTGAACAAACGGTCGTTTAGTACCCAAAGCTACCTCCTATTTAAAAAGAAAGTCCGCCGGCCTGCCAGTGTGTTTTGTGGACGTTCTTGTGACTCATCTTGTGATAGCTTTAACCTCACCTATAGATTACTTCTTCGACGGACTTTTGCTTTGAATTGCCACATCTACTTCTACAGATGTTTGCTTTCGCTGCCCTCTAGTCTCGTTTTTCTCCAGCGAACTAGCACTGACCTCATTTGCATCATCACCGTCTCGGTGGTCATCGTCATTGTCACTGTCATTGTCATCGTCGTCAACATCATCATCATCATCATCATCATCATCATGATCATCATCATCATCATCATCATCACCATACTCACCACCATAATCATCATCAAAAAACAATAATAATAAGAGGAGGAAGAAGAATAAGAAAAATAATAAAACAAAAAAAACATAAAACCAATAATTTATAACAATAATAATATAATATAATTAATAGTAATTAATCATCATCATCATCATCATCGTCATAATCATCATGATAATATTAACAATTAGAAGAACTAAATAATAATAATAAAAAAAAACAACAATAATACTAATAAATTGTAATAATAAAAATGATGATAATGAATAATAATGATAATCAATAATAATGATAATCATCATCATCATCGTCGTCATCATCATCACCATCACCATCATCATCATCATCATCGCCATCATCATCAACAGCCTCCTCGTCATCATCCCCACCGTCATCATCATCATCACCACCGCCGTCGTCATCATCGTCATCATCACCATCATCACCACCAGTATCCACGTCCCACCGGCATCATCGTCATCGTCATTGTCATTGTCATCATCAACATCATCACCACCATCATCATCATCACCATCACCATCATCATCACCATCATCATCATAATCATAATCATTTGATTCTCCTCCTCCTCCTCCTGCTTCTTCTTCTTCTGCTTTTCCTTCATCCTCCTTCATTCCTCGGGCTCGCCCCTGGGATGCAGCATGTTTTCACGTTTTCTCCATTTTACATCCTGTTCTCGCTCCTGGGATACGGCATTTTTCTACGTCCTCTCCACGGTTTCCTGCCCCTTCCAGGCAAATTACGTTCTAACCTGCCGCTTTTGCGCCCAACACTTTCCATGAGCATCTGCCGCTGCTGCTTTTCCTCTGCCCTCACGGCCTTCTCCACATGCAATCACACAGCCATGCCGCTTGTATCTACCCACTTCACTCCTTTCTGTTCAATCTCCACGGTCTTACACACACTAGCTTCTACACAAACCAACTTTTATACCAACCAGCTTTTACACAAACGCTCTCTTGCACCAAGCACTTTTTGCAGAAGCCCACTTTTACATCAACCAGCTTTGCAAAAACCCGCTTTTACACAAACGCGTTTTCCAAAAACCACCTTTTACGCCAACCAGCTCTTAGACAAACGAGCTTTTACACTCACCAGCTTCTACACCAACCAACTTTTCGACCAACCAGCTTTTACAGAAACCGCCTTTTGCAGCAACCAACTTTTTCAAACCAGCTTTTACACAAATCAGCTTTTGCACAAACCAGCTTTTAAATTTACACAAACCAACTTTTAGACAAATCACCTTTTCAAAATTACGCAAACCACCGTTTACAACAACCAGCTTTCCACAACCCCTGCTTTGGGCTTGTAGGCCAAAGGCCAGAGGGCCGGCGGAATGCTGAAGGATGCTAAATATTGAAAAAGTATCGAAAACGCGGCACCCATGATTTGTGGCTCCATTGGTACTCCTTGTCTGTGTCCCCCAAATGTGCTAGTTGTTCCATCCAGTTGCAGATATATCCACCAGAAATTCCAAATTATATACATGACTTATCATAAACTAACTTGTAATCCATAAAGTAAGTATGATTATCATAATCCCACCATGTATACGTGTCCCGTAAAATAACTTTGATGATCACAATCCCACCAGTAATTAGTTATACTCAGTTATAAACCAACTTATCTATCTTCTGGGGAGAATTTCAAAGCGTTCGAATCCAAGGTGCTCGACAGACTCAGCTGCACTCGCTCCTGGCAGGACTGGATCACTGGAAACCACCGTTTTCCCATCGAACATAGGGGGTTCCTGTCAAATGTCCCTTCAATCGATCCAATGACATGATGAGTTAGTGTGATTTAATATGACTGCATATATATATATTTATTTATATTTATATTCATATTCATATCAATTACTATTTAACTGATAGAAATCCATGGATAGACCTTGTGAAATCTTCGAAGCATTGCTACTTGACCCACAGACTCTGAGCTTTCCAATAGCAGTCCCACTCCTGAACTGTAGTCACGCACCTCATCTTGACCATGAGCGAACCTGCAAGCAGTGTCTTGAACTTCTTGAACCGCACTGTACCAATGTTCAGGTTAACATGTGTCAATTTCGTTATCCCTGGTCATGCCAGAATTTCATTATTCTCAACTCATCTGAACTTCATGTCGACTTCCCAGGCCTGCAGCCAGGACCCTCCTGTCGGGGCCATGAATTCTAGGTAAAATTTCTCGGGAATACATCTGGCATGGGGCAAATGGCCGTGCTGCTTTAGACTCTTCTGGGTGCAACTGGGGTGTCTCCCCACTTTTGGACAAAAGCATCTAATATCATCTAATCATGAGAAAGACAGGACCAAAGAGGCTAGAGGTTCGGAGTTCTTGGTACATGTTGGCTTCAAGATGCAACCAATGATAACCGATGTCAGCTTTCTGCAGCTTTCCCAAGCAGACCTGGACTCCCCCTCCACCCTCCCAACAAGGCTATCATGGTGAGGCATCTAGCCTTGCACTGGCCCGACTTCTGTAGGCTACGGCCTCGACTTTTTGACAAGTTGATCAGTAGACGATGGGGTAACCATTTTTTCACAGCGGTCGAGAGTAGATGATGATCATCCCCAAGATATGGGGTCCTCAATCAACAAGGCTTGAATGCAATCACTGCTTAAGTCTTCTGAGATCGCAACAAATGCGGGTCTTGTAGAGATTCGGCTTCTCACGGAGTTGCGACTCATCGTGTGCAAAATGGCAGTCCTCTCCACCTTTGCGGACTGGATGACTGTTGGAGCAGCTTGCTGAAGGGTTCTATAAGAACCCCCGGCCTCTTGTCTTTCAGCTCAAACGGCAGAGCTAGTTTCGGGTTTTTACCCATCGTTAGCAAACAACGCACAAAAAAAAATGTAGTCAACTCGAGATCGTTCTTCGCCAGTTAGGATAGAAATCAAGAATGCTTCCCAACGACTGGAACCGTGAAGCTTCGCCATGCAACCAGGCGGCGTTCGCACCGCCCAGCCAAGAAGAAGCGGCAGAGGCTGGTGTAGCGGAAGGAGTCCTGCACAAGCTCTGCTTTCTTTCACAGCATCTTCAAAAAGCCAGAGCAGAGAATTAGGAACAAGAGTCCCAAGATGTCCCAAGTATCTTGTTGTTGTGTTGCAAGATGGGTCACTACTGTAGTTCTCCCTGCTTTGATCCACTTGCAAAGCAGCTTGCTCAGGAGTTGCATCCAATGAAATATTGCAGTGGTGCATGATGATTCTGCTGGTGATCAGGGTCCGGAACCCTTAGGCCAACCTTGGGCCCTTGTTAATGGGGATGTAGATGGTAAAAAGCCCAACATAGGAAACAAAATAGGATGTTTTCATCAGCAAAAACCACCAAAAATCTCCGGGAGTCTCCGGGTCTTGAACCGTTTTGACCCAGCCACACGTTTTTCAAAAGCGACAGCACGGATCCTGCTTCGACATCACTCAAAGGCCTCTGGGGGGTGCGGAGCCCTCAGGTGGAAGATATGGATGCTGTGAAGGCTACTTACTTGATGAATTGTTGATGTTTGATGTTCACTGGTTAAAACAATGATCAATGCTGTATGGTTGGTGTATAATGGTCAATGACGACTGATTTATTGTTGAGGATTGATGGTCAACGACTGATGCTCTATGGAAAACTAGGGAAGCATCAGTGCTAGCTCCCCACTTCCACCAAGAGGCGTGAGATATTAACGCGCGTGGCGCGAAGTGCGACGAGAGAGCCCCAAAAGCTAGAATGGCTGCGGAATTCATCACGAACAGTTTCTGGTGAGATTGATACACTACATAGTACGGACAAATCATAGTGTTTCACAAAGCTGAAATATGCCCATTTTCCCTTTTATACTAACACAATCATTTATGGTGATATTTTGGTGAAGTCATCATAATTTACTATATAACCAGACCAATATCAATTACAAAATGCAAACTCTTGTTGTCCCAAGAATACTTTGGTGTTTGCACCACATCCATCAGAATTCGAAATTGGCAATTACTTGGAGATCCTGTGCACTTCTTTGGTCAAAAAGTTCAAGCTGCCGCTGCCAGGAAATCAATGGCTGCCAAAAAGGAAAAATCATGGTAACTATCACAAGGCTGAAAAACTATTCAAAAAAATGGTTCAAACATGCTGAAACCATCAACAAGTAGTTCTGTATCTCCGTTTGATTCGTTCCTGCTCTCTGAGTTCCCACCGATTGGAGTAGTTGGAGGCTCCAGACACGAGGCGTTTCCTGAGAAAACAAAGGTTAACAGGCTGACGGCACCTGCCCTGGCAACTCCAATGAAAAAATATGGAAACGAAACATCACGCACCTACCAGTTCATCATGATACCACAATAACAACAAGGATACAAATAAGAATAATGATAATAATAATTATTGTTGTTATTATTATATAGTATATAGTACTATGTTTAATATATATATATATAGTAATGATAAAAAAACAACAATAATAAACAATAATTAATAATAATATATGATAACATATAATAATAATAATATATAATAATAATATATAATAATATACGATAATATAAAATAATATATATATATTAATCAAATGATATTTAATAATATTTAACAACATGCAATAATATTTCATAATATTTCATAATATTTCATAATATTTCATAATATTTCATAATATCTAAAAAATAATGTCTGATAATGAATGATAATGTACAAAAAATATATATGATAGTTTATTAATACATAAATAATAATAATTTATTATATAAATAATCATTTATAATTAAATATAATAATGTATCATAATGAATTATAATAAAGAAATAATGCATAATATCACAATATATAGTAAAATAGAATAGCATAAGAATATTTAATACATATATATATATATATAAAATTGAAACAATATATATATATAATTTTGATAAAATATATTCTATTATATTATCAAATATATATATATATAATACCTAATAAAATAAATAATATATAATATAGATTACATAAAATTAAAATATATATAATATAATTGAAAATATATAATATATATTTTTTTAAAAAGAAAAAAGTATATGCAACAAAATATCTATTATATAATATCTATAAACTAAAATATATATATTTAATTTATAATATATCATATATGATATATGATATGAAAAATAAAGTATATAATCTATAATATATATATATCATATCAAATAAAATATATGATATATCATATATAATATGTAATATATAATGTATAGACTCTTCAGGTGTTGGGGTAGGAGCCGATCGACTCCTTTTCTCCTCTTCTGATCTTTCCATCTCAAAAAAAAGAAATCTTTCATCGTTCACTCTGAAATCAAAATGTGATCTCAAATACTGTTCACACATGTCAGAGCAGTCGAACAAGCACTCGCACTTTTTGACTGCTCCTGACGCGGGGTCGAGCAGCAAACCCTGAAAGGTCAAAATCGAACGTCCCAATGACTCCTCAGCAAATGAAGTGAGAGCCTGAACAGACTTAGACACAGCAGGTCCGTGCAGGTCCAAATGACTGTGGCTCAAGCTAAACCTTCAGAGCTGAAACAGAGAAATAAATGACCCCATCTCTCATCTGCTTTAAAACTGAAGCAACAGCAAAACAGACACAACAGAAAGAGCAGGACTGTGGGGATACCGACCCGCCCTGCGATTTCCACAAGGGACCGGCCGGGTGGGACAAAAACTAGGAACGAGCAGCCTGGTGATCAGTCCAACTTGAGCCAAAATGGCCAGCCGTACACATCGATCGTCCTGGGCACATATGGAGCATGGGTGATCACCAAGCTGAATGATCAGTAAAAACATATATATATATATAAATAAACGATCAAGGTAAATTATAAATATATATATATGCAACTGATCAAAGAAGTAAATCGATCATTCCAAAAACAGATCAAAGATGAGAACCACACTTAAGAGTCCCTCGTTTGTCCCGAGCCAACCTTACCGCTGACACACAAACAATATACAATATATAATAATCTAAAATAATACTATAATAATATTAAAATATTATAATAATATACAATAGTATTATTATCATATTACAAAAATATTACAATAATATTATAATAATGTTATAATAATATTATAATAATATTATAATATTATAACATTATAATAATATTATAATAATATTATAATAATATATAATAATAAATATTAATATACCATGAATATAACAATAGATAATGATAGATAATGATAATCATCACCATCAAACTCATTATAGTGATCATTATCATCACCTGCATTGCAACAGGCTTCCATAATTCCTATCAGCCAAAGACTTCCCCAGATTCACCAGGGCACCTGGAAAATCCGTAGGGATCACAGGCACGGCCTTCTTCCTAGGCGCACGGCTCGGGTATATCATCTGATATATAGCTACCAGTAGTTATATCTGGTATGTATATGTATTTGTATATGTGTGTATATATATGTATATACAGTAACCCAAATAAAAGTTTTGAAAAGGCTCAGTTGGCGGCTATTTAAGTGGGACTTCACAAAATTCTATCCTTTTGGAAGGTCCTATACAAATATGCATTTATAATATATATATATAGAGATATTCATATATATATATATTCCTTTTTACAATTCAATATCACGTCATGATCATAATGCATCCCAATCTAGTGGGTTGTGATTTGGGTTACTTTTAGTACCCATTTCTAACCCAGTGTTTGATGGCTTGTGCATAGCATCTTGGAAAGGGAACTGCTAACTTAGCTTGTCCTCTTGCAACTGTGGCCAGTCTCTTCTTTTGAGTCATTGAATCAGCACATAAGGTCCTGTAATAGCATCAGAACCTGTCCCCATGCCTGACACGTGGGTTGCCTGAGAAACAAGGTACCCCCCAAAATTCAATGGTTTATCACTTTATCATACTTTATCATCAATTTTCATCCATTTTCCCTTTTTCATTGCCATTTGAACCACGCACCCTATTTATGACCTTGTTGCCTTTTGTGTTGTTTTGCGGTTTTGTCTTCTTTTCACTCACCGCTTCGCCCACCTCTGAGCTTCGCACATATAAGTTAGGTTCAACTGAGAGGGATCGGCTTCGCCTGCAAGAAACTGTCGAGCAGTCAATGGCGTCATGGACTTTTCTTGGCCACCTCAAAGACAAAGACTTTGGATGATTAGTATTTAAAGACGGAAACTGCCTGGGCCTGGTTTTGAAATTAATTTTGACATATTTTGACCCAATGTCATATTGATACACTTGAAGACCAGTGCCAGTCATCAGCCCGATTTCACAGGCCCGGCCGTTGGGCTTGCGGAGCATCACTGCCATCGAAAGAACTCCTGGCACCAACTGTTCAACAGCAGAAAGAGGCACCATTTGGAACTTGCAAACTGGTCAGTCATGGTCAGTCATGGTCAGTCATGGTCAGTCGATCTGGAGATCTGAACCCATCCCATCGCAGCTGCGACCTCCGGAAGGGCACGAAAAGGTTCTCGTCATTTTTCCTGGCCGGGACAACCCAACGCGGACATGGAAAACCCGTTGTGGTCCCATGGCCATTCTTTGTGTGACATCAAGCGTCGTTGCCAACTGCCTCTGTAGCTGCGCCGATGGCGTCGCTGGAACGACCTGAGCACCGGCTGGGTGGCAAGTTGCCAATTTTGACCTTCCAAAAATCCTCTGGCTGGCTGATAGGTTTCCATTGAAGAAACCCACTTGAAACCATCCATCTATATTCCTATGATTTCTGCATGTCCAGGAACCCTGGAGGGCCCACAGAGTCATCCCAAGCCATTCAGATCAGTGTCCCCATCCGAGGTCGCAGCTCTGAGTGAGGTCCTACACCTCTTCATGTCGTTGAGATAGTTCTCAAGAGCTGGCGGTCGAGCCCATAACGCGTTTTTTCTTGAGTAAACTGAGCCACTTATCATCTTTTTAGGGTTTTTTTAGGGATTATATTTGTACTTGAGAGGGGGGGACGAAAGGTAGGTGGGTGCATATCTCTCAACAACTTTTTGCGCTCATCCTGTTTCAATATCGAACTTTCCCTTCCCCCTAGGTCCCTCTCAATTTCCTGCATCCATTTCGTTTCATACGTAGACTTCCCCCATTGGCCTCTCCACCACTTCTTACGTTTTTGCTGTTGCAATATCCGAACTTCCCCAGCACCAACAACTTCTTGCATGCATCTTGTCTCAATATCTAAATTCCACCCACCCTGTGCCATAGTCAGTAATAAGAACCACAAGCAGGATAATGTTAGTCAGTTTGTTGGCCAGCTATGTGAATTAGAGGGGCCAAGGTGCCTCAACCGATGGACGCTCGGTTGAGGCACTTTGCCTGTAGGGATAGGTCTTTAGGGATGTAACCTAGTGCGTGAAGATGTCTGAAGCAAAAGCAACATCAAGAATTGCAGGAGACGAAACCGTCCTTGTCTCGTTGGAACTATAA